ACACATACTTTTATATATATGCAAAAAAAAATTATTTCTTACAATATAAAAAATAAAAATCCCTAAAAATTAATATGTAAAACAAATTGAAAGTAAGTATTTTAATAATATAAGCAGCTAAGATTATACAACATAAAAAGAGGTTTTACACAGTGTTTAAAAACCCGGCCCGCTCATCGACCCGACCGAGGTCAGGGGTCACGGGTTCAGCCGGGGGGTCACAGGGTCAGTACGCTGACCCGGTTTTATATATTAAAAAAAATATAAATATATATATATCCTATATGAAAATATTAAAAAAAACCACCAATCATCAAATATTCAAAATATACTTAACATAATTCACCAATTACTACCATAAGTCAATATTACACAACCTAATTAAGATATCAAGATACCAAAGTATAAAACTCATATTTTAATGGGGTCACTACGCTGACCCGGTTCTGCCTCTTTTGAGAAGGTCTCTGGTAAAGGAAAATTTAAAAGAAGTAAGAATGAGTTTTTGTTTCACATCGACAGTCGTAAGGATTTGATTTGAATAGGTAAAATTCTTATCTTTTTTAAAAGATTCACGGCAGCGAGGTGAAGATTGAAAACGTCTAGGTCACTAGGAGATAAGAGAACGATTAGATTTTGGTTTACAAACATTTTTATTTTATTTTTTTAATAAAACAATATTGTTTCATGAAATTTTAAAAAAAAACAAACAAACATGCAGTGACCCCTTTGACCCCTCTGACCCGGGAGTCACTGAAACTCGACCGGATTTTGGGGGTCAGAGGGGTCGATATGCATATAGGGTCCAACTTGTGACCCCAACCCTCAGAAGGGAGGGGTCAGGGTTGACCCGGGTCAACCCGAAGGTGAAGCGGGGTTTTAAAACACTGATTTTATATCTCTTTTGCGGCCGGAGAATTGAGCATTTTGTAGTTGAGAGAAATTTAGTGGCCCCTCCAAGTTAAACGAAAAGGGCACATTTTACGATCTAAGAGTAGTAAGAAAAGTTGATTTTTGCGGTGAAAGGAGAAGATATATCCCCCGTACAAAAATGTGTGAAACAATATTGAATATAATGTTTTTAGAAAAAATTTAGTACAATAACAGATTATCTTACTCTAAATAATGATTTAGTTTTATTATATAAGGGCATGTTTGGTGCATAGTATAGGATAATGCCTGGTAGTATAAGATCTGATTGTATAAGACCTGATTGAATTTTAATACTATCCAGCGTTTGGAACGGTATTGTATAAAATAATATATTGTATAAGTTAATATCATCTAGTATTTGGTAATGCACTGTATAATACTATATATGATAAAAGTAAATATTTTAATAAAAATATCCTTTAATAAAGAATTTATATAATTCTTCAAAAAATATCATATGATATTAATTTTTATAAAAATTTATTGATCATTGTGTCCAAAATTTAAATTAATTTTTATAAAAATAAAAATATTCAATATTTTAAAAGTTAATATATTGAAAAATTAATTTTTATTTTAATAGATTAATATTAAAATAATATATTAATTTTTGAGAATTACATTGGTCAACGATGTTAATACATCAATCTCTTATCAGGCCTTATCCCTCACCCTTAGGCCGGATTAAGTTATACATCGTTTTGATGTATTAAGGGATTATGGTATATAAGCTTATACTATACGATGATCACACCAAACAACTGAAAATGTCATAACGTATAGTATAAGCTTATACTATCATGCCATACGTCACACCAAACAGACCCTAAGGGTCTATTTGGTGTGATGTATGAGATGATAGTATAAGCTTATACTATACGTTATGACATTTTAAGTTGTTTGGTATGAATATAATATAGTATAAGCTTATACAACATAACTTCTTAATACATCAAAATGATATATAACTTAATCATGTTTCAGGGGGAAAGATAACGTCTGATAAGATCTTGATGTGTTAACATGGCTGACTAATTTAATTAACAAGAATTAATATATTATTTCAATATTAATATATTAAAATAAAAATTAATTTTTTAATTTTTAAAATATTGAAATTTTTTATTTTTATATAAAATCAATATATTTTTATAAAAATTAATATCATATGATATATTTAGAAGAATTATATAAATTCTTTATTGAAGGATATTTTTGTTAAAAATATTTATTTTTATTCTATCTAATATTGTACCGTGTATTACTAAATACTGGATGATATTATCATATAGAATATATTATTTTATATAATACTATATCAAATATTGAATAATATTAAAATTTAATTAAGTCTTATATTAAATTTTATTTTAAATTGTACGCCAAATATACCCTAACAGTTAATAATTTATTTGTACACATATAAGAAAAAAGGAAACTAGAATAATTAAGGTTGTCGGAACTAATTAATGACTTTTGACATGACAGATTCATCTCTATCCGAAGTAATGTGATATTAGTGAATCCATTCTAATATTTGAATTGAATTAGAGGCATATGTGTTGTTAAGTATCACTTGGTCAAAGATTAAATTTTCTTGCCTATTTTCTTCTTCTAAATTTACAGTTTGACTTGTATTAGAGGCATGTGTTTTCTTAATTACACGTTGCATATGAGTTTTCAATTCCGGTTAAAAATTTTAAAATTTTTCTATGTTAATTATTTTGCTTTTTTCCCCTCCGTTCCTCCATTGTTTGTTTTTAGCAAATATTTATCTCCTTGCAATTAATTTTATTTTTTGGTACTATTTTCTATTTTGGGCATTAAGGTCATAATAAAAAAAGAAAATGACAAAAGTAGTCAAAAAGAGACATGCAAACCATGTGAAAACTTGAAGCAAAGAATGCTTAGCCAAGAAGATGAAAGGAAAACATTAAAAATATTTTACGTAAACAAAATAAACCAAAAAAATAATAAAAATTGAATCCTATATAATTTAATGGAAAAATGTTTATGCAGTTACTGCATATAAATTATCTGGATTTATTTCTAAAACGACGTCGTTTTGGTATTGAAATTTTAAAAAATTATAAATATAAAGACTATTATAACCCTGAAATAAATTAAAATTACAAAAATACCATGATTTCGTCCCAAAACGATGTCGTATTAGGCTTACTGCAAATAAGTTATCTGTAGTAACTGCAGAAAAAGTGAACCCATAATTTAACATGACAATGTCATCTAAGAAAATCTTAATAATCAATAATTAAATTGAAAATGATAATTTTATAACTATCTATTTTTATATATTCTTTTTCTCCCTTACCTTATTATCATATCATATTAATAAGAGTAAATATCATTTTCGATCATCAGCAAATTTTACGATGCCCGCTTTAGTATCTAACAAATAAAAATGCTATTCCTGCTTCCTAAGAAATTCAAAGTGGACCCATTTTAATCTTTTTGAGAGATTAATATAGATCTTTTTTGAATTTGTAAGAAACCACGATTTTAACTAAATGTGTCCATTATGAACTTTTTAAAGACCACGAATAGTCTTTTTATTTGCTAAGGACTAAAAAGAATATCGTAAAATTTACTGATGGTCAAAAATGATATTTACTCTATTAATAGTAACCAATATAACGAAGGTGCACCGCCAGGTGGAGTCTGGACAAATCACATTCCCAAATTTTGAAAAAAAAAATTATTGAAAAAAGTTTCAGTTTTTTTTTAAATAAAAAATAATTTATTATTGTTGCTTTTTGGGTGGGCCCATAAAACAGTACTATGCTGCCTGCACTATGCTTCAACCGCTAAGCAAACGAGGGATGAGTGAGGGATGGCAACACCGTCACGTCGTGGTGCCGAGTCACTACTCGTTTTCAAACTTGTTGCTTCATTCACCTTCACACCTTTCTCTAGGTGTTTCCCACCTTCCAAATCTTTCTATACCCAAAAGAATCATCAACGGTTATTGGATCACCAATTCATCATTGTAAAAAAAAAAAAAAAGGTCAAATAAAAATTTGGAAAATTAATTATAAAGATTAACTGATTTTCCATTTTAATTAAAAAAAACCCAATAATTAGTACCAAATTTGTTGCCTAGTTAACTCCAGCTGCGTATATACTTTTTTGGTTTATTATTAACGTGTGATTATAGTGTTAAAAGTTGAATCATTTACTCTGTCACTCTTTTTTTTGGCACTTTGACTTAAAATCAATTGACTCATTTTGTTAATTTTTTATTCATAATAATTTTATTCTTTGATTTTAAATGTAATTTTATTTTAACTTTAAAAGAGCTTTCCTTTATCTTAAATAAAAAACAAATTTTGTATTAGACTAACCAAATGGAAATTTTGTTATATTTAACAATTTTTTTTTTGGTAAACATATTTAACAATTTTTAAATACTATTTATATAGTTAATAAATAATTAACAATTCTTCATTCGTGATTACCTTACTTATAAAATAAAACAGAAGTTAGCAAGTTTTTTAAAAATTTATTCAAAACAAACAATCCATAACAGTTATTCCAATTTTATTATTCAAAAATTAATCATCACATACCTTTAACTGTTTTATTCTATAAAATAATGTCAACCAAATAAAAAATTTCAAAATTTGAAAAAGAGGTAACCATCAAATATAAGAAAAATGCATCGTTTTTTCTTTAATTTCATTAATTAGCCTGCAACGAGTGATATTTCGGTTAAGGAAATCATGATTAGTAAGAGAAGATTCGAGTCCCACTGTCACATGCTTAGAACACTACGTTCACCCATGAAAGGAGAGAAACCAAAAAACGAAAACGGTAAAAAAGAGAAGAAAAAAAAAGAGACCCAATCCAATGCACGCTGCATGGTTAGCGCGTGTACCCACCTTACCCCCACCGCGTGTAACCACCAAAAAGCACACCTCTTCTCCCTCACTCTCTCTCAAATAAAAAAAAAATTAAAAAAAAAATCCAAAACCGTTTCACTTTGTTTGAGACAGTCTGTGTGTACAAAAGGGAATGCTCTGTTTCGACAAAAAGCCCCTCGGATCCCTCCTTCATTCCTTGCTAGTTTCACTCTCTCTTTCTCTTTCTCTCTTTTTTTTTTTTTGCATAGCTGGGTCCCTTAAAACTCTTCGTTTTATTAAAAACCATAAACCAAACCCCAAATTCAAATTCGAATTCATGGCTGAGAATTTGGATGATGGCGAGTTCTGGCTCCCACCTCAGTTTCTTACCGACGACGACACGTCGTTTGTCAACAATAAGAACAAACTCACTGTCTTGAACTCCAAAAACGACGACGCGTTCGACGTCGTTTCGAGGGCTCTGTTTCCCTACCTGAGTTCACCTGTTGAGTCCGTGGTTGGCTCCAGTGAGACCGAGAGTGACGAGGAAGAACACATGGCCGAGTTGACTCGCCGAATGGCTCACTCAACCCTCGAACTCGGTCTCAACCACCATAACCATGCCTTCACTGCTGAAAAAAAACCTGAGGTACAAACACAAGAAAACCACATGTTCATTTGAATAGTAAGAGCTTTAGTTTTGATGTTTTCTTTTTTCTTTTTTGTTTTTCGAAGGGTTCGTTCGTGTCTGGTTCGCCGCAATCGACGCTGTGCGCGTTTGGGAGTAGCGGGAAAGGTTCGAGTCCAAACGGCAACGTTTTGAACTCTCAGAGGGCAACGTGGGATCTGCTGCGCGCGGCTGCAGGGGAAGTTGAGAGGATGCGTCTCAGCAAAGAAAATTACGGTTTTGTCCCTAACGCCACCGGAAATCCCTCTCCTGTGTTTTACGCTCAGCAACAGGCGCTATCTCACCAGCAATTGCAGATTGCACAAGTAAGGGCTTCAACTTTACCATTTTTGCGTACTTATAATTTTAGTTAATTTTTTTTCCTTTGTTTTACTTATTTTTCATTTTCTTTTTTAGTTTCAGATGCTGAGGCAGCAGCAACTGCAACATCAACATCAACAGCAACATGGTTCGGTGTGGCAGAGGCAAAGTAACCAAATGGTGCCAAAGAGAGGAAGGAACAACAACGTTCGTGGTAATAACATGGGTTTGTCTCAACCTGCATGGCCTATGCAACATGCTAATGGGTTTGGCATGAGAGCTGTTTTTCTCGGAAACCCTTCTGGTAAAAGGCGAAGCACCGGAACCGGTGTATTTTTACCCGTTTGTATTAATAATCCTTCTGAATCAAGGAAAAAATCAGGTGTGTGAATACTTGAAGGAATTTTTTTCTTGTTTTGTTTTGTTTTTGGCATGATTTCTTTTTATTGCTATTGTTCACGTTTTTGATTTTTTTGTTTTTGTTTTTAATTGCAGCGTGTTCAACTGCATTGGTTCCTGATAGAGTGGCGCATGCGTTGAATTTGAAGCTGGGTGGTGGCACGGTGGGAGGCCACTTGCAAAATCAGCAGCCTCGTTTTAATGGGTCTTCAAACATGGGAAATGGTAAATAAAAAAAATAATAATGTGGATTTGGTGTTTTTTTTTTCCCTTGTCAATTTTTCGTTTTTTACCTTTTTTTTTTTATTATGATATGTGAATTTTTTTTTATCTGTAGCTGCTGTTCCAAAGAGGAGTAATAATGGGTTTTCTCAACAGAAGCGCAACCTAAAGCCTCAGCAGCAGCAGCAGCAGCCACCGGTGTACCATGAGATTCGGCTGCCTCAGGAATGGACTTATTGATCTATGGTTACTAGTTTTATGTTTTGGGTTGTTCTAAATGGGAATAGGGTTGTTGTTTTTGGGATAGGAAGTAGGGACTTTTGATGTATGGGGGAAATGGATGACAGTTTTTAGTTTTATTCAACAGGTTAATGGTAATATATGGAAGACACAGTAGGATTTTGTTTTGGTTTGGGAGGAAGAAAAAATTAGGGGTTCTTTTTTGGTTTAGTGTGGGTAAAGAAAATAGTGTTTTTTTTTATTAGTATGTTAGGTGTAAAAAATAATTTGGGAGCCTCTGGAAAAAGCTTAAGGTGCCTGCAGTAGCAGACGGTAGCAAGTGATAGCGATAACAGTAACAATGTGTGTTCCTTTTGGATGCCTTGGAAAGGCAAAAGCGGTGGATGGGTAAATTTTTGCCCCTCCTTTTTTATTTTTTTTGGTTAATAAAAAAAATAGAAATTTGGGAAGTTGAAAAAGCAATTACCAAGAAGGCTGGATCGGATTTGCATAGGATTACAACCTTGCCTATTATTGGATCTCAATGTAATCATATGAGGAAATTGCTTACATCTGATTACAATCTGTCCCTCCAAGTACTATAAGTAATAATGAAATGAATTTTCGTTTAATGATTGTTTGCATTTCCTTGATCTTTTTCTTTAATCTTTTTATGCGTGCCCATCACTATCCTTCTAGGTAATATTTGATTAATAGCAAAACTAGTGACAGTTGTTAACGTAATTATTTACTCTTAAATTGGAAAATGGAACGGTTCCAGATTTATTGAAGATATCCTTACCTTGCTGGAATAAATTAAAGTTGCTTTTGCGTCCCCCAAGAAGCGGTGGCATCTGGATTTGATTTGTATCTGCTATTTACGCATTTAAGAACAAACTGCATAATTTGCTTATATTCATCTTACAGTTTATCGTCACCGTTTATTTTTATTGAAGTTTCTTAAATATTCCTTTTTCATGGATGATATAATGTATAATCTCAGTACCATTTATTTGATTATTGTTTTTTTTTCCACACATTTGTATGTATTTTTATTTTTCGTTTTACCATTATATTTAACGTGAGGTGGTGCCATGTAATGATAAAGCATTATTTGTTTGTTCATAAATTTTAACCAATTGTGGATTCTCCTATCAATGGCTTTTTGTCTCAAAAATATTAATAAATCAAGATTCGGAGTGTGGAGTAAGAAAAGCAAGCAGTGAGAACTGAACCGTTTTCATTGCGCGTGACCCTCTTGCTTTTTAGAAGTAGTAGCCTTTACTTGGAAGGGAAGTTTCGTTTCAACTGGGCTGGTTAGGCCTTGATGTGAAGTGGGCCAGTTTGACACATGTATTGTGCAACACAGAGTGTCTTATTTTTGCTTTTTTTTTTGGGTCTGGTGTTTGTCATTTTAAATGGCTTAAGTTACGTCATTTTAAGAGAGAGATAGACACATGAAAATGGAAATCATGGGAGAGAAAGCGGGTGATTTTTTTAATTTAAAATTCAAATAATTTTTTTTTTCTGTATCTGTCTCTCTCTTAAAAGGACAGAGTGTTATGTCATTTAAAATGACAAACACTTTTCCTTTTTTTTGTATACATATAAAAAGAAGTTTCCCCTTAGTACGACGTCGTTTTGGGGCGAAAATTATGATGTTTTTATAATTTTAATTTATTTCAGGGATATTATAGTTTTTATAATTATAATTTTTAAATGTTTCAATCATAAAATAAAATCATTTTGGAAGTAAATTCAGATAACTTATCTATATCAGAAATATTTTTCTAATAAAAAGAAGTGGGCATGAAAATAATTTTCAGATCTTGGTTTTATTACTGGCAAAAGATTTTTTTGCCTCGGAACTCACCTGCAGTGAGCGGTGCCTGATTTTAAGGCTTTCAACGAAAACGCTATCCATCGATGTTGCGTGCGCCTGGACTTGTGGCAGGGGCGTTCTGTTATCAGGACATGCGCATAACCATTGGGGCATACAAGTACATGTCAGGATGGCAAACATTAACCACACTATCATGAATGTCGAATTGTAAAAAATATTTTTAATAAACCTTTCTCATGTGTCGTTAACATCTATGGTGCACCGACACGGAACATGAGATATGACACGACACGATATTTCGACGCGTTAATTTTAAAAAATATTAAATTTTGATATGTTAGGACACGTTTTAATATTATATAATATTTTTAATTTGTGTAGTATATATTATATTTAATATTCAATAATTTAACAAAAAAATAAAGCTAAACATATAATACCTAACAATTTTGCAAAGAAATATAAGATATTCCAAATGTTTATATTAAACTCAATAAAATAGTAATCGGAATCCAACGAATCTAATATTTGGAACTTAAAATGCAACGCAATGTAACCTTTGAACCTTTTTTGAGTCTTTGCAACGAGTATTGGAGTGTCGGGAAGTGTCAGAGTGTCGGTGAGTGTCGAGAAGTGTCGGACACAACACGTCATGAATTTTGAAGTGTCGGTACTTCACAGATTAACATAAACATAATATCAATGTTACTGTTTATAAAATGCAAATAAAAAAAAGAGACAATAATTATTTAAATTATTAACCGTTGATTTGTTCCTATGCTAATCGTGTTGTCCATGAATCATGATGACCATGTGAATATCATAATCGAGACTTTTTTTTTTTAGTCTCTTTGAATTCATTAGAGTATTTTTAGGGGGCATTTGGTGAAATTTTTTATTCTCGTGAATCATAATCTCTAAGAATATGGTGGGAAAATAATTTTTTTAAGAATATTACCAAAAAGTTGTTTGGTAAGTCAAAAGATTACAAGAAATGTTGGTTTAAGTTTATTGATTCTATGTTTGGTTGGTTGTTAAATATTGCTGAAAATGTGGGATGATTTTACAAAATTAACCTTTACCCATAATTTTCATCTTTCTCGCTTCCACTAATTCCTCTCAACACTTCCACCTAAAACTTGTTATCACATTCATCGAAAAAGTTCACTCTTTTCTAATTTTTTTGACGAAATCAATGGGACCTAGATTCTTTTTTTTTTGGAGTTACCCAACCCTAATTATCTCTTTTAGACGACTTGGCTCCCTCCGGTATCCCCACGAGCTTCGACTCTTTGAGCCGGCTATGAGACTAATCCGGAGTGCGGGGGAACAGTGATGGCTAAAGGTTCAGCCCCCTCCCCAAGAATGCATTCAGCGGGAATCGAACACATATCCAACCCCACTAACTCAGCACCAAGTTACCAACTGAGCTGCACCCATTGGGTTATGGGACCTAGATTCTAGTACTTCGCGGTGAGTCTTATTCCTTAGGTAGTGTTTGGTTGGGGAGAAGTTAAAATTTTGCTGGCTAAGTGCATGTGGGAATCTGAGTAAACCACGTTTGGTTGAAGGTTTTTGGAAAATATGTCCATCAAACCCACTTGCCCTGCAATGTAAGAAGCAGTGTAAAAATTGGACTTTGCCACTGTTGAAGAAGCCGTTTCAACAGGTGGTATTGGTTTGGGATATCGGATAAGTGAAAAAGGTGGAGAATGGCATGACAAATATACCCTTGTGATTAGGGTGGTTTGTTATAGACGAAAAAATACTTTGCTGAACAACCTGTGTTTCTGTTTATGTGAAGAAGATAAAGAAACAAATTTAAAGCTAACCATAACTGCAATCATAATTAGTTAAAAAACAAAAAAAAATACAGCAAATTTTGCTGTTATACACGTGTGAAGCATTAGAAAGGTTAATTTCGTCTTTTGCATTCTTTTTCCTATCACAATTTTATTTTCAACCAAACACACATCAGGATTTTTAACCCAATTTTTCTAGTAATATTTTGCGCTACCAAACAACTTTTTTTAAACTTTCCTACCAAACTAACTTTCCAACGTCTTTCCTAGTAAAGACAACTACCCACTTTAAAAAAAATTCTCCCCAACCAAACACTACCTTAGGAAAAAGTTTACTCTTTTTTGAATTTTTCATCAAAACCAATGCGACGACTTCGACACTATTCCCCTGATGGTCTCCGAATCCCAATATGAGGTTGTTTTGTAATGGGTTTCCCACAAATGCAATCCAAGTTCGGAAAAGTTGTAAACTTGTTACATGAATCACACACAAGGAGCTTTGTTGTGGGTTCTGTCTCATCAACGTTCAAGAACAATTTCAAGCACAGTGCTTCACAAGGGTAATTTTGTCCCTGAAAATATACAAAATATTCCCATGGGATGGAATTCTCATAATACCACCCATTTTGTGAGATTTTAAGTTGGTATTCCTCTTCATAAAAAAGAATCCCGGGAGTTCAATTTTCTCGAATTTTTTTTTGCATTTCTTATACCAAACGTGGGTAAATTAGAATCGCAATATCAGTTTCCCGGAATTCTAAAAAAATCCCCCTACTTTTAAGTTGGGATTTATAAAGGCAAACCATTGTCTGGTTCCCAAGCCTTTTCCTCCTTGTTAATTTGAGTCCTTACCAAATTCATTTCAAGAACATAATGACCATGGGTCCGTAGCAAAGGATTAATATTTTGCCATAACTTTTCTGCATGAAATCAATATCCATGGCTAGTGCAAAGCATACTTAATATGATTATGTTAGAAAGATGATCATTGATTAAATAAGAGGACTAGGAAAGCGAAATTAGAAAGCCATTGGAGGGAACAACACACTTCTTTTTCTTGGATACAATGGTGGGAATTGAACACATAATATAATATAAATTATCCTAACCCTCACCACTAGACTAGTCCTAATGGCTTAAACAACACACTTCTTATTGATAGGTAAACTCCTTCTTACAATGGTACAACCTTCTCCTTTCATAGAATTAACAAGCACAAAAAGACAAACATGATTACATGATATTCCATTACAAACCTTATCTTATAATAGAATGGAATCTCAAAAGTACATTCACTAACATTATTACATAATTGCTTACAACACACACCAATATCTTTTTATTTGACTTTAAAATATTAGGAGACTCTTTTTTTGCGCAATTTATCCCAAAATGGGCTTATGAACATTTGATAATGGCTCATGCTCATCCAGGTTCATGTTTTCAACATCACTTTCAAATTTCTTTTTCATCTAGCAATTTCAAATAATCTTCAAGATTTCCCTGTAATCTTGAAGTTTGCAATATTCTCGTCGAGCAAAATTTTGGAATCTTAGAGGATATCGAAGCTTGACTCTGGATTTTCTTCAGTGTCTTTTGAATATGAATACTCTTCGAAGTCAAACTTTTGTTGGACATTAGTCTTCTTAAGAACATTGAGAGATTTGAAAGCTTTATTAAGATATCTCTAATATTCCATTAAATCTTCACTGAATTGCCTACTACACCATGAAGGGTAGGATTCCAACGGTGTATATTCTTCCCATTTAGGCCATATTTGTTTAGGAATTACACCATTGAGCTCTATAAGATGCCTCTGAATGTCTTTGATGAAATGAGAATTTTCTTCTCTAAAAGTGTTAAGGTTTTGCTAAAAAGAGGATATTCTTTATAATACTTTTATGGGATAACTATGAATCATGTTGCAGGTACAAAATTAGTGTCAT